CATCTGCCTCTCAGTAATGTCTTTCCCCCACCCCAGTAAAACACTGCTCCAGATTCCCCTTAAAAAGGCCAAAAGCAATTCAAATGTGCAAAAACAATGCCAAAAACAATTCAAGTGTGCAAAAATAATACCGAAAGCAACTCAAGTGTGCAAAAATAATACTGAAAGCAACTCAAGTGTGCAGAAATAATATTTTAGCCCAGAGAAACCAATTTTGGACTTCCAAACTCCAGAACTATAAAACATAATTGGTTTTAAACCACTAAATGGTAATCTATTATAGAAGCAACTGGAAACTAATACACCCAATAAAATATAAATTCCATGAGAGTTGGGTCATATTCTGTCCACCACTTTTTCCCTAGTGCCTAGAGCAGTGCCTGGCCACAGTGGGCACTCAAGTAGTTGTTACGTAAATCAACAAAGCACCAATTCCAATCGCTTGGTAACTGATTTCCTAAAACAAATGAAGTCATATCTAAACTTAAAATAAAGTGAATAAACCATGACAGAGATGGTCACCATGGAAGGAGGTGGCAGCATGGATTTTCTAACCCTGATCTAGAGAATGAGGCACCAATATGAGTGCTCACGATGAGCGAGCGATATGGTGCTACAGGAGGTGGGGTGGGGTAGGTGTATGTGTGTGTGTGCATGCGTGCACACTGTACGTACGTGTATTACCATTTAATTCTCACAATAGTCTTCCAAGCAGATGTCTTTCCCATTTCAGAAATGACAATATAAAAGCACTTAGAGATTAAGAGCCTTGCCCATGAACTAAGAATGGAACTCAAGTCTGTATGATTACAAATCTCTTCCTTTTCACACTATACCATACCCAATCGTTCATATTTTAAAGTACCTGTCGCATACACTTTCTAATTTTATCCTTACTGTTAACTTGAGATAGGTATTATTTTCACTTAGTAAAAAAAAAAAAAAAAAATACAAAAAGACCCTAAGGTTTACAGGTTCAATAATTTGCCCAAAGTCTCTACTAGAATATTAGAGGGTCAGGACCTAATCCCAGGTCCTTTGAACAGAAAGTGGTTGTTATATAAGAAAGTTCTAGTAAAAAAAATTTTTTGCCATAATATTCTCCTAAGTTCAGTTGATTTTATTGAAATCTGAAATTTGAGCCACTCTAACTATATTAGTGGGAAACCCACAAGATTTGCAGGTTGGTGGATACCTAAGTCTCTATAATTAAATTACCTATTGGTCAATTCACCTTTTTCTTCAAGGTAAGCAAGCAGTCATTTTAATTTCAAAGTGATAAGGCAACCCAGGTATCATGACAACCAGTAAAAACAAAACAAGTGGTTAATTTTATTTATATTTTAACAGCTATAACTGTAGAGAAGACCCCAAACCTTCACATTCTCTATTATTGCTTTGAGTCATCACTAAGTCTCAAATACTCCTGGTAAATACACTAGGCATTTAACAGAGCAATCTGGCGGCAAGTAAAGAACTGAGGCAAGATTTTTTTCTTTTTTTTGCTATCATTTTAAGAATATCTTTTCCTCAAACAGCAAGTCTCTGGAAATCAAGGAACTCAATTGGTAGAAAGAAACAGGCTAACGTGAAGATCAGTGAGACCAAAAGATGCTTTCCTGACTGCTAAATAAAAGGGTGATAGACAACCAGGAAGGGTCAGCATTCCTTCAAAATTTTGTGTGAGAACTGATCTGTCTACATTATGAACTGTGGGGGAGGTCAAGGGTCATGACATGCAGAACCTCCACTCAAACTGACTGGGAAATCTAAGGGTTAATTTGTTAGGAAAATAATTGGCCAAGTTTCATAAGAAATTTCTATTTTTGCTTAAAAAAACCCTTCAATATTACACATACAAAAACCTCTCCTCTCAATCTTGATGTCATTCATTTAGTTTTTGGATTTCCCCTCTCCATACCACACTAGACTTAATAGGAAAATTCATCATTATTGCTATGCAAAATATGTATCCACCTGCCAAATAATGTTTAATGGCAAAATCCACCAGTACCAAAGATTAAATTCCTATAGGGATCAAGAAAAGAAGCTTATAGGCATGCTCACTGCACCTTTAAAACTGCTTTCTTACAAACCCAAATTTTCAGGAATAACCTCCAAATAAGGCATTAGTTTATGTTTTAAAAAGAAAAAGGAGCATTTATGGCTTTATGAATAAATTAATCAATTATTTCAGTTGAAACAGGGGCAGTTCTAGGCATTGAAAGCCCTATTAAGAAATGCACAATTGAACTGAGAACAGATATTCAAGGCTGTTGTTACATAATGAAACATCACTGATTTCTGAAGGACACACGGTGTACTAGCAGAAATTACAAAGAAAAACTAGGAGTCAAAGAAGAAATTAACCAAGCAGATAAAGACTAGAACTAGATGTTAAAAGATTTTGTTTGAAATAATCTAACAAAAGTATCTTCTACCTCTGAGAATACTAACAGAAAAGGTAATTCATTTTTGCCCAATTTAACATTCAACTGGAATAAAGATCTTATGGTTTTCTAATGCCATAAACCTCTCACAATTCCCTATATTTGCCTCCATGTCCAGTATACCGTTCCTATCTGTGACCAACTCCTACTCACGTTTCAGCACTTAGTTGACACCTCATCTACTATAGTAGATACTATATTTCTTTTGAACTAATCACAGGAGAATTATTTAGAATGTGGATACCCACTAATTAATCTTACTGAGTCTTCCTAGCAATGAAGCAAAGCACCTGTTTGTGTGTGTGTGTGTGTGTGTGTGTAAGTGTTAACATTGCACATTCACTGCCCTATAGATAGTCTTTCTTTAATTTAGCATTTTTTTTACCCACTCTTTCCCCAACCTGATTAGGAATCCCATATGGGATTCTCTTTATTCCCTGTAACAGAGGAATACAGTATCACAGAGCATAACTGATACTTTTTTTTTGCAAATTATAACATACCTTTTAATTTATGAAATTTGGAACTGAATTTTATTAATAAAGTCTTAAAGGACATTCAAAAAAATTTCCATGAACATGCCAGTGATTGTTTTTAAATAACAGATCATGACAACTTTATAAACTACCAAGAAAAATACACTGCACAGTAAGACAATTTCTGATGTTCTTGAAAATATTTTCTCACTTTACAAGAGATACAATATGGGCTTCTATTTAGGTTTTACACTCTATTTTGAGATGATACTTTAGAAAAGCCACAAAATGCACCCTATACTAAGAACAAAAATGTTTAGTAAGAGCTTTTAATCATAGCCTCTGAAATTTCAAAAGTCGCCACAATATTTTTCCAGTCCTGTAAACTCAAAGATATAACTCCTTGTTTCCTGCCATGGGAACTGGGATCATTTTCCTCACCCACTTGGTTAACATTAATGGGCTCTAATATTGGCAGCCTGTCTTGATCAAGCCTTATTCTTGCAAAACCATCCCTTATAATGAAAGAAACATAGAATATATTCTCCACAGTACGAGAAAAAGAATTTGGATCAATCACAAACTCAAAATAGGATACGGGAGTGTCAGGATACTTTCGAAAATACGTTTGCAACAACCCCAAGATTCTTTCTACTTCTTTTTCTGTCCCTTCTTGATTGCTACTCAGGTCCAGCCTCCTCAGCTTTGTAGGCATATCCACGTTTTCCTCCACCCTGGGAGCTTTTTTATGGTGTCCAGGTCGCCGCTTCGGTGCAGAAGACTCTGACTTGAATGAACCAAAAAGAAAGTGGAATGTTTCAGCTTGCGATATCCAGGATGTTGCTTCCTTATGTACTGTCTCCCAGAAGGAAAGAACTATGTTATCATCACAACCATTCAACGCATCATGTTCATCATCTTCCATCCAGTTCAGACCCACAAAAATAAACAGAAAATCACAAAATGCTACTTGATTAAAAAAGCTCATATCAGAGTTCAGCTGCTTTGCTTTTTCTTTACCCAAATCAGAAGCCAAAACAAGAAACTGGGCATCGAGAGCTGCTTCCCTTGTTCGGCTCACTCCATCAAACAGGACATTGGCTTCCTCCAGAGCCTCGGTTAATGAGTCGCTCGCCGTGTTCACGATGTCTTCCCGGTTCTGCTGGACGTTATAGATGAGCTGCCGGTACTGCCTGCGGATATTCCGGCATTTCTCCTCGTCAGCCACAAGCAATAGGAGATTTGGATCTATGTGGGCTGCCGCACAGCTGAGGTCGTCGGAGCAGTCCTCGGAGCAGCTGTCAGAGAAGCCGTCAGCCCCCATCGCCACTTCCAGCTTCAGGGGGTCCACCTCCTCGGCCTGCTTCAGAGAGAACGCACTGCTGGGGATGGCACTGCCGGGAATGGCACTGCTAGGGATGGCACGCACCACCGGCTCCTCTCCTTTCTCTTCGTCTCCCCGCAGGGAATCTTTTTCATCAGACATATCGGTGACAGCGGAGCTCAGGTAGCGCTCTGCTCGGGGCCTTCGCGATGTTTCTCACCAACGGCGGCAACTGAAGGCCGGTGTCAGGCAGAGCTGAGAAGACGTCCGCCCATGCGCAGGGCTGGCGTCGCAGGAGGCCCCGCCCCAAGCTCACCCGCCTCCCGACAGC